ATTAATTAATTTTAAAAAATTTAAAAAATAAAACTTCAAGGGTGTTTTTATTTTTATAACATTGTTATTTAGCAAAAACTTCGTTGTAAGAACCATTAGTCAAAGGGTAGTAGTATAAATTAAGATCCTTTTTGTAAAGTTCATCTTTTGGCAGACAAAACCCATCAAGAACAAATTCACTTTACACGACACACCATAGCAGTTTTTAAGACAGTCTCTACCATTCACAAAATCCATGCGCATGCACAGAAAAGCCATTTGAAGCATCACCTTTAGATAGCAGGTTAACAGCCCAAACTGCGCCACAAGACTGCATCTTAAAGTTCCCTTTGATCAGTTACTGAGCCCGGCTTCTGATGTTAAATCTTCATTTTTTAGTAAGCAGATTAGAAAGGAAGAGATTAGGTGAGAATGAAATGCAGAAAATAGTGAATGCCAGTCAAACAGAACAGAAGCAGGTTCAGAGTTTTCAAAACATAATTCATTTAAATTCCTGCCTGGTTTCATAGAGACAACCGACATCTGAGAACCTAGATAAAAAGAAAAACAAGAAAGCTATTTAAACCAGAGCATACTTTGTTTTTCCTAAGAATGTCTGGGTCATGATAGTCTTTCCTAAAATTATGAAAATTAATACAGAGAGAAGGAAAATACTAATAGAGAGGTTGTGAAACTTTCTCACTCTTTCTTCAGTGATTACAGATTTCTCTTAATTCTATTATGTTTTTTATTTGCATTTTAATTTTTAAAAATCTTTTTACTTGTCTAACTTTCCCATCAGCCAATAAATTTCTTCTCAAAGACATTCAATCAATAAGTATTTATTGAGTACCTACTATGTATCAGGTACCATGTGAGACACAAAAAATAGAATAATGAAAAATAAAACAGCGCCAGAGCTATGCTTTACTCATCTTTCTATCTCCAGTGAGCAGGATGGAGGATCTAATCAAATGCTGACCAAAATATAATTCAATATTATTTTAACCAATCAGAGCTGAATATTTACACCTCAATACGACACAGAATTGGAATACTATAAAATCTATAGTACCAATTTCGATTTTCTCTAATAAGTGGTCCAGAAATACTGATCTGTGTTCAAACTATGTGCCATTATGTTTGACATTATAAGCACAGACTAAAGAGAGGCACGTTAAGACAGAAGAATACTTTGTCTGAGAATGGTTAAACTGGGACACCAGGCAATTTACTATTCTGAGACTTCCTATTTTAACTCTGCCTCCTTTTAATCTCTTGTTAGTTAAATTACAACTTTTCAAAGTTATTGACAAAGATAGGATTTTTAATAAGGATCTGTGCTATTTGCTTTTAGGATTAAAATAGTAGCAAGCTAACATAATGACACTTATTCACAATTTTAAAGTTTAATCCTAGTAGTTTGTTTTTAAATTCTAGTAATCCTTTAAAAAGAATTGGCTAAAGTTGGCTAAAATTGGCTAAAATTCCCTTCTAATACAGGGTTCTGTTAAGTAAAACTATTTTCATGTCTTATTAAAAAAAGATCTGCTGACCTGGCTTCAACAAATATACTACTGAACAAAAGAAATCTCAAAGAATAAGTCTACTCAAGACATTTTCTATATCACACAATACATGTAACAACAGCAACAACAAAAAAGTTCACTCTTTTCTTGCCAAAGTTGAGCAATGTAGCATAGAGTTAAAAGCTAGGACTCTGCCTGGTTTTGGATCTCAGCTCTTCCACTTGCTAGTGTAGCCTTTTTGTGCCTCTCTTTCCCCAAATGTAGAATGGTGATAAGAAAATCTATCTCATATTAGAGTTACTGTTAGGATTAAATTTCAAGTGTCATAATAGTAAGAGCCTAAATTAATACATAGGCCTGCAATTCGTATCCAAACCCTTGGATGCCAGACATTTTGAGCAGTACCACACAATCAAATACATCAATATTTCTGTAGTAAAATAAATTAACATTTACATTAAGTGTGATAAAAATTATAAACGGCTTCAGTTCAGGTTACATTTCATATTCTAGTTAATGAGTTGTGAATCCACATTACGGAAAAAAAAAAAAAAAACTTTGGCTTTCAGAGTTTTTTAGATTTCTGAATGGCAGATAAGAGACTATGAACCTGAGTTGTTATTACTAGTACCAGAATTAGTACTAGCCTTATACGAAGACTAAGATCCTGTATTGGCCTTTGAGAAGCTCATGTTGTGGCTATTTATATGATAAGCCTAACTGAAACTAGTAAATAAACTAAGAAAGCTCAAAACACTGGCAGAAATGATAGTAAATACAGCTGAGGACAAGAGATACCATAGAGGCCAAGGACTCAATGATATAAAGAAGAGACAGGCAGAAAGAAGGCAATTACAATCAGACATCTTTAAACTGGAATATTACTCTCTCCTCTTTGGGGAACAACTGTTATTATAGTAACTTCTTGAGTCCATCTGTTAAGAAGTGCCTTCTCTTGTCCCACTGAGAAATGGTTCTGCTGAGGTTAGAGGCTAAAGGCTGCTTCAGGACCATACTCTACCACCTCCACTTTCACCAGTGTCCAAGAAAATCTTTCCTATGCTTGGCTGGGATACACAAAAGAAATAAAATTAATACTTCTGTAGCTCCATTTCCTACTTTCTATATTAGACCATCTTGGGATTCACTGCTCTTCCTGTTCAACCTCTGACTCACAGCTGATTTTGCTCTAGGGTTTAGGGAGGACTTCTTCCTCTTTGCTCTTCTCTTAATATCCAATCTCAAGAAAATTAACTTTTTCTCCTCTGCACTCTTCCAAGGGTATAAAGAACACAGGTGAAAAGGACAAGTTTGCAAAAACACAGTTAAGAGTTTGTATTAAAAAAATCTGTGCATTTCCAACTTGTTTGCTTAAAGTCATTGGCTAAACACTGACTGACAAGTCATAGTTATTAAAGTATGCATTTCGGAGAGTCATCCAAAGTCTAAAGAGGATAACAGACTTGTCTTAGAATAGGAAGCCAATGGACAAGACTAGAAAGAACACTCAAATCTTAACTTCTTATGCCTAAAACACTATAAAGTTGATCAACAAGCAACTTAATTCTATTTTATCTCATAGAAATGGCAGAGAGAATGCTATTACATGAAAACACTGATCTGAAAGTATGACAATATATCAAAAGTTCCTCCATTCCTAACTCCTTTGGGCAGTAAAAATGCTGAAGTCTGGAAACCTTTGTATCCCATTCTTGGTTTACCACACAACTGATGAGACAACTAGATGAAAGTACTAATGCTTATGAAGCTCTTTAAAAATGAATACTCTCAGCAGTAACCATAGTCACTATTTCCAGACACTGTCATTTCAACTAAAGTTAAAGTTTAAAGTTGTTGTTTTGTTAACTAATTTTCAAAACATAGAGGAGCTCTTTCTAACAGAAGGCGAGATAATGATTAACTGCCTTAGTCCAAACCTCATCTGGATCTGAATAAAACATTTCTCAACACCATGGAGTTTGGTTTACCCTAGCATAAGCAGAAAACTTGTATATTCAAAATGGAGTCACCAAGAAAAATGAATTCCGTTCTGCCAACCATAATCTCATTCACCATATATAAAGAATTTGAAGACTTTTCATCTCCTAGCTTACTAGAGACTTCAAATCTTCGGTCTTCTTTGATAGTTCCTTCCTCATGTTTGATATATAATTAGTTGATTTAAAATGACTTCTCTGTGATTTACAATTTTCTCTCTAACCTCAATACCTCACAGGCCTAGATTGCAAAAGGTTTCTAACTAGTCTCCTGGTGTGTAGTTATAGACTCCGCTCCAAACCATCAACTCCTTAGTCTGGCATTCAAGTTTCTCTACTGCCTATTTATGCCTTATTTTCCACTTCTGATCTGTGTGAATCATGCAATCCAGTTAAGTCAAGCTTGTCTGTAATGTCTGTTTACAATAAACCTTACATAGAAAATGCCCTCCCAGTTCTTCCACACCCAAATTCCACATCCAAATTCTTCTAATCACTCAGTGCCTAACTTAAGTCCTACCTCTCCTAAATGATGTTCTCCAAACCAACAGAATATAAATTTTGTTAATACTCCTTGTTTGAAAAGAAAAGACACTAGTTCCATCTTGCTCTTTATTATCCAGATGTATATTTCCCAACCTTTTAGTGTATTACTAAAAACTGAAATTGAGACTTGATCCCAATTTTGGGATCGAAATTTGATCAAATTTAAGCCATAGATTTCAGTGAATCTACCCATTTACATGAAAAGCTTCATTTGCCTTAAGGAGAAACAGTTTAAGTTTATCTAACAAAGTTTCTTATTTAGACCCAGTCACACTTATGACCTTATTGGGGGGCAGGGAGGGAGGATGCTCTCACTTTAAATTTATTTTTACTAAGGTCTTGATTTATCAACTCACCTATTACACGGGCAGACACAAAGGCCACAGCACTTGTTGAGTTCTGTTAAAGTCTTCTCTGCCTCTCTCATGTCTTTATTTATTTGGTCCATGCCTTCTTCTATGCGGTTTAGTTTTTCTAAGAGTAAGTTATAGAAGTTACATTTTGTGTTACATTCACAATGCCAACTATTATAAACCAGCAAACTTCAATCTCAAATCTACCAATAACACACCATAGTAACTGTATCAGTGCCAGAAGGTATCACATACTGTCCAATATGAAACAATTTAGTTCACATACTGATCCTGAGACACCTGGCCTCTTATTATGGAAAGATTTGTTCTAAAGAAATTTGTATAATAGGAGCATATGAATGTTTGTTTAGAAATGACCCTTACAACCAAATTAAGTGTACTGTGACTAGATCGGATCCCCAGCATTTCTATCATTGAATAGGCTCAAAATCTGAGAGGTGTCATGAGACTAATAAAAACTCTAAGTCCTACTACCTAAGAAACACCTGGTATATAATTAGACATTGCTGCCCCCACCTCCAGTAGGCAATAAACATGATATAATTCAAATCAGAAGAAAAGAAGTAAATATGTCACTCTTATCTTACAAAAGCAAAGGCACCCCCAAAAGATTAATTTATACATGGCTGATGTGAAAGGGCTTTCTGATATCTAAGTCAAATCAAGAGTTTCTGCCAATAACTGCAACTCACCTCCTTGTTCATCCAGCATAGTGATAGTCTTGATTCCTGCATCCTGAGACTAAAAGAAGGGAAAAAAGCTGATAGCACAACAAAACACATCAAACTAAAAGAAACAAAAACTATAAGGCCTAATAAACAGCAGGAGAGAATCATTTAGAAACCTAAGTTCTCATAAGGGTAGAGCTACAAAGAAAACTAATATCCCCAAACCAACATACTTTAAAATACTAAATGCCCTGCAACCAAAAATAATAAAATAAAATAAGTTACAATTTCATGTTGCATTGATCTACTACCCTGTCATTTTCCAATACTGTCAATGGAAAAAACAAAAAAGGCCTGTTAGTGCGTCATCTGACAATTTTATCAATCGCTGGTTTCGAATAATAAAGCTGACTGAAACAATATTCTTCTGTCTTAACACCAATTTCAGCTTGTGATATCAGGATCCCTCCTATACAGTTTCTACATTTAACTTGATAATTAAACACTTTCTTACCTCGATGGCTAAACCCAGGATTCTCCTTGTACTTTCCAGAGACTAGGAAAAAATATTAAGAGTTTTAGCATTCTAAAACATGTAGAAAAAAAAGAAAAATCTTATCACAGGTCATATTCATGATGCTACTCTATCTTTAAAGATTGCCAGCACATCAGTTCCTCCTTTTAAAACAAAAAAAAAGAAAGTTGATCACTATAATTTTAGTATTCTTCCTTGCAGGTACACCTTATGAAAAATTTGGAGGGTGAAGTTTATGGGATTTGTAAAAATTTAATGTAAGCAGAAATCTAGATATATTACATAGATATTAGAAAGTTATAGTAAAATCAAATATCCAGAATTTATCAAATCTAGAGTATTTTTTGTTATAAGTAACTGTTAAGTAATAATTACCTGTTAAAAAATCATATAAATTGTTTTTACTTATCTAGTTTTTTGGTAAGTTGAAAAAATAAGGAGCTAGTAATGGCATTCTAGGGCATATGCATTCTTTGATACAAAAGGAGTAAGAGAGGACACAATGGTCTTCTATGAAGGTCGTCTCATCCCTCCACTGTGAAAACTGAAAGAGAATTACTTATGCCAAAAAAAATGTTTACCTCATCAGTAACCTGGTGAGCCCTTAACTGAATTTCTTCCGGTGACAGATTATCCATGATGAATTAAAACTCTCGATAGGCACCGAAACTGAAATGTAGATATTCTGTAAGGATAAGGATACAAAGCACAAGTTTGTTTGAGCAGAGTGTGGACTTCTGGAATTTAGAATGTTTATTTGGAAAACAGGATAAAAAAGTGAGTCAGTCTATCTCTATCTACCTACCTACATTACAAGTGAAGAAATTAAGGCTGAGAGAGGGTTAATGGATGCTTAAATGCTCGTTAGTACCAGAGGTGAACTTAAAACTCAGATTTCAAGACCTCTATTGAAGCACTGTTTTCTAATAGGAAGGTGGTCTCTCTACTTTGAGAAGGAAGGCATTATTTAAGAAATGAGTAAAATGAATTCTTGGTCGTACAATATTCGTTGTACATTGTTTGAATGTGGAAAAGCAATAAGGTGAAGAAGGCTAAATTAGGTAGTTGTTCCGTTAATAATGTAACAAAATTCAAAGTCATGTGCCTGAAGAACACAGAAAACATTTAAAAAATGTGCCAGTTGTCCAGGCTATTCATTGGAAAAAGTGAAATATTTTCTTTCTTAATAAGAAAAGAGTAATGGTGATACAAAGAGCCCAGAAAAGAACTAAGGTTTTTATTAATAGGAGACTCTTGTTTTCCAATTACTGTATTGTTTATTATTTTAGTGAAGTCCTTAAGAAACAGAACGATTATTCTTCTATACATAGTAACTCAGAAAGAATTCTCATAGACATTCAAACTAAAACATAAGTAGGTGTTATTCAGAACTACCCTTATGTATACAGAGTCATGTGGAGTAATAACCAATGTGTGACAGATCTAGGTTGTTTTCATTACATTTGCTAGCTCTGTATTAAATTTTTGAAAACTAATTTTACCAGAGCTCTTTGTCAGTGACACAAAGTCTGGTTCACATTCTGGATTTGGCCCCAGGAGACATCTGGCAATGTCTGGAGACATTTTTGATTGTCACAAGTTGGCGGAGGGGGAGTTATTGTTACTGGCATCTAGTTGGTAGAGGCCAGGGATGCTGCTAACCATCCTATAATGCTCCTTTTCAACAGCCCCCCATAGCAAAGAATTATCTGGCCCAAATTACAAAGTGCTTAGGTTGAGAAATTCTGCCATGGAGTACAGTCACTGACAAACAGGGAGCCTAGTTAACTAGGAATGAACTACATTGAACTCTTGGAGGGCAAGCATTTTGTTATATCTTTGTATTTCTAACACCTAACAGCATCTGACAGTTGGTACTTCCGTAAATTTGTGCTGAATGAAAAAGCAGAAAAACAAGGTGTATTCTCAAAGTATTTAAGTGGATCTTAGAAACAAAGCTACATGTAACAGTAGCATAAAGACTGCAAATAACTACTAGAACCACAAACCAAAAACTGCCATTGTATGTGTACGATCCAGATTGGCCTGCTGGTCACATACAAATCTTTTTAGTCATATCCATAGCTAACCAACACTTTTAGTGGAATCATTGTTGATAAAACAAAAAACTGACAATACTACATTAACAGTACAGGAAGGCATTACATTTAGAGTCCTGTTTATAGTTCCGTCATAGCTCTGTTTTTTTAGGCCTTGATTAAAGCTATTACTCCTCATAAAAAGTATTACTATTAATTATTATTATTGTAAAAATGCAAATTTACTATCTTGCTTGCCATAGTAGGACTGTGGTTCTGGCAAAACGTTCATACACTAAGATATATAATCAAGATACAAAAGCCTTTCTTGAATTAAAAACTGATTTTTATTAGATAAAATAAAATTACATGCTTTACTTAGTACTTTGTTAATTATTTGAGCCTTTGGCTTTATGACACACATGTTCATGCTACCGTTTATCTTGTCAACCTTCTGTAGTTACATTTATGAAAAGAAAAAGAAATTGTCTTTGTACCCGCTCACCTTCATATTTTTGTACACTTTTCCTTTCTGTAATATCCTCATCTCCTGCCCAGGCAGCCTCATTACTCTCTATTAGCTCCTAGAGCCCCAAAAAGATACCTTTCAAAGCCTGCCCTTCCCAGGCAGTATGCCCAACAGAGCAGAAAGTAATAAAAAAAGTAATACACACTAATCAATTAGTGCCAGAAAATGACACTCCTAGTCAGGTTTTCTGACACAGTATCTTGTGGGTAGCAAGACATTTGGGAGTAAGGAAGTCCAGATCTTTTAAACTGTATAATTTTGTAATTCCCTCCTGGGGGCTATTCTTGCCAATCACAAGTCAGTATTTTCTATCTTCCTACTAAAAACTGAGTACAACTCTACATACATTCAAAGAGAGGCTTGAATGCAAAACTGACCTCTGTTAAACTTGAAGATTTTAAGAGTTCTGTTTTCTAATTATTAAGCAGATGTAGCTGAGAGGTGGATGTGGAGTCACTCCTGGCATAGCAATGGGGTTATTCTGAAGGACACACCCTTTCAGTGGACTCAAAGTGCTGCCTAGCACTTCTTCTTTTTCTTCCTTAAGCAGATGACACAGAACGATTATTCTGTGTCATCTGCTTAAGGAAGAAAAAGAAGATAAGAAATGGACTTCTGTAAAGTTCTCACATGTTTGGCAGGCTGACATGAGGACACAACTGCCTAAGACTTCTCTACTCTGGATTCTTGAGGGTGCTGAGTACATGATTACAGTAAATGGGACTAAGAGAGACAAAGCAGAATTGTAAGGGGAAGGACAAAAAGAGACAAATAATACTCTCCAGGCTCTTACAAGCCTTTAATAAACTGCTCAGAAGTGTCAGACAGGGTACAACCTAGAATTAACTATACAGCTTTACTCATATTTATTATCTCCGGTAGTTTTTCTCATGGAGTCAGAAAAAGCCTATCCAGATTGCTAGAGTAAAGAAAATTAAAGCGGGGGGAGGAGGGAGGGAAAGGAAAAGGAAACATCAATTGACACAAAGATCTCATTAAACTCATTTTTCTTGGACATAATCTTATAGATTATCTGTGTTATTTTTCCAATGCTCTGGGAACTTAATATACTATACTAACTGTGCGCCTTTGAGAGGAAAATACTTTTTCTCAGAGCTTTTACACCTTATCTCCCTTACTATTGTCCATTTGGGCTTACTAAAAGACTCTTAATTTATTCTTAATTTATTTTCTATTATAAACCCTGGGGGAAATGAGGAGGAAGAATGTTCACTGAGTATGTACTATATGTCATATGTCCTACTAAGTATTTGTACAGTATTATCATTACCTCTGTTATACCACTTTATAAATGGGGACACTAAAGCTCAGTTTAAGTAATTTGCCCAAGGTGACTGAGTAAAGAGCAGATTTAATGTTCAAGTTTGGATCTACTCTGAAACTAAGAATAGCTCATGGTCTGGTAAATAAGCTTACTGTTGGATGCACCTTAACAAATATTAGATGATGTAAGAACTGTTAAATATTAGAAAATAGGCTAAGCACCCTTCCTAATGGTTCATTTCGAAATTCTAGATGCTTTCTATAATAAAATCATGAAATTTTATCTTTTCCACAGACTCAGAGTTAAATGGTAGAACTAGAAAGACCAGAGTAATCATGGTTTTCAACTGTTTTATAGTAATTTAGAAACTAAAACTATATTAATTTAGAAAATGAAAATATTATTAGGAAGAAGGGATACAAAAAGGCCTTAAGAATATAAATAATACAAAAAAGGCCTCAAGAATATAAAGAAAAAAAGGACTGAGAACTTAACAGGAGATCCATGCTGTTGTTAACAAAAATGGAAAGAGATTCAGGATGTAAGAAACAACTTTAAATCACCATCAATTCTACAGTGTCCTGCCAAGACCAATATACGAATGATTTTATAAAATAATTCATATTACATTGGAAAACAAAGATTTTGCATTAAAATGTTCTACCAAGTTTCTTGCCTTTTTTCTTCTCTTAAAAAAAATTAATCACAATATAAGCTGCTCGATGAGTTACACATATAGTTTATTACTATACTCTTAACAGTTTGATAAAATTTGCAATTCTCTTTGGCATATTTTCATTAGATTTTCATGATAACCAATGCATTTTCAAGTGGAAACTTCTGTTCATAGCAGGCTGGCATAGCGGTGAGTAGTGGGAGCTCTAGAATTCAAATTTTGGCCCCAAAATGTATTTGTTTTATGACCTTGGGCAAGTTATCTAACTCCACTAAAACTCAGTTTCTGCATTTATAAAATAGAGATAATAGAATCAATTTCATGGGCTTTTTCAGTGAGAATTTCAAAAGGGGACTCATACAAAGTACTAAGCATAGTTCTTCAAGCATGGTATTAAAGTGTTAGCTATTACTTTAATTTTACTAGAGAAGCAGATAGAAATAATAAGCAAAACAAAAGTAAAGCAACAATGTTAAATATGAGTGACATCTCTGTAAATGCCACTGAAAATAATAGCTACTAAATATTAACTGTTCCATCTGTAAGGCTAAATTTGAACATGAGAGTTGATGACACTGAATACACTACACAGCTGAACTACTTTCACACCAGTCACGAGTCTGCATATGTCAAGACAGATATTAAACAGGTTTAAATTAAACCAAGTTTCCAGTTGATAGGTACGTTAATCTAGACAAATATATATAGCTTTGCATGTATAAAAAATTAAAGACTACTCTTAAATGGTTCATTTTTTTTTTCCTGTCTAAGGCAGACAAACACAAACCACAAAATAGGGTTTAGGTTATGAAGGTCAGTATCTAAAGAGAACAAACTAAGACTTAAAAAAAAAAATCAAATATGTGCTATAACTGCCTAAGGAAAAAATATGGGTAGAAAAAAGTCTGGAAGGGAATCATCAAAATATAACCAATGGCTGTGGAACTAAAAATGACTTTTCTTGATAGATGGTCACAAAGATGGGGACCACAGCATAGTGAATGCAGTCAGCAGTAATGTAATGGCTAGGGGTAGAGCCAGAGGAAAGAAAGGGCAATCAGGGGGATTGTTTTATAAACTACATAAATGTATAACCAATGTACTCTATACTTTAAAATAATAAAATAAAAGATACATCAAGCCATGAAAAGACATG